GGGGGGGGGGTGGGGGAGTGGGTTAGCCGGTTTCTGAAACCACAGGGGTGATGTGGACTTTTTTCGAGTTTATTTCAGGATTTCCGGCGATACGCTTTCAGTGGGAGGAGACGTTCCCGTCGACAACGAGACGCCTACGGTGACTTCGTAAATCTCAAGATGATATGCCGGCTCAGTCTCTCGGAGGTGCTCATAAAGGTAGGGTGTGTGTGTGCGTTCATGCGGGTGAGTGTATGCGCGTGTATATGAGCGCTTGTGTCTGTACTTATGCTAAAAAAAGATGCAGCAAAGATTATACTGAGATTAATACATCATCGCGTCGGATCACAAGGCATCGCACGCACCCAGCAGGATCGACCCAAAGTACAGAGGAAACTCGACTGAAGACAACACGAAGACTGAAGAAGCCACAAGGCTACAGAAGAAGCAGTAGGCAGAACCACGAGGAATGGCAGGTGGAGACAGCGGCGGGGATCGGTGACTCGACGGGGCCCTGGGGCGATGCTCTAGTCTAGACGCGGCCCTCCCAGAGGCACGGCTGGTCGTCGGAGCAGAGCGCGTGCGGCGGCGGGGCGAGGCCCAGCGCGGCGGCGCGCTGCCAGCGCTGGGCGCGGGTGAGGCCGAGGCAGGGCCCGTAGCGCATGTCCATGTCGAACTCCCTGGCCTTCCTCTCCGCGTCCTCCGCCTCCTCCCTCCCCGCGTCGGCGCCGCCGCCGTGATCTGCCGCAGAAGCAACAACAGATTGAAAAAAACAAAACAAATAAACACCAGATCGACCGATCGAGCAGTCAATCCGCGCAGGGCGTACGAATCGGCGGAGTTGGGATTGGGCGTACGGCGGAGTACCTGGCGTCGGGCGCGTCGCCGCTTGCTTCTGGTGGTGGTGCGCCGCCTTCTTGGACACGCCGCCGGTGGGCTTGGTGGCCGCCGCGCCGGAGTGGGCCTTCTGCTGCCGGAAGAAGGACCTGACGTCGCCGCCGCTCCTCATGGCTCTCTCTCTCCCCCCGGCGGCGCGATCTCTCTGTTGTATTGGAGGAAGGAAGGGGGCGGCGGATGGTGGACGGAGGATTGGAGGTTGGGGTTTATAAGGTGGGGGTGTTGTGGTGGGCGTGGTGGTGGTTCGAATTTTGAATTTTGAAATGGGCGCTGTCCTCTCGTCTCTCGAGACTTCTGCCGCTGCTCTGTTTGCTGGCATTGACCGATGAGACCCATCTCATCGTCCGTTGCCACACATGACCGGTGCACGTTGGGTCCAGGATGTGTATATTTTTTCTTTATTTTTTTCTTTTGCTATTGAGTAAAAAAAAATCAACACAACAAGAGTATCATAAAAAACACGGTGCTATGTGGTTACCAGACAATCTACAAACATAAGTCACATTAAGATACATAAGCATCAATTCTGCATAGCAATGTCGAAGCAAAGCACGAACGAAGGACAATAAACACCGTAATAGGCAAGTTCAAATTTAAGGAAGCAAAAATTCAAAAATAATAATTAAAGGGAGCGTGTTCATATCATGATAACTGAATTCACCACAACTCTCTCTCTCTTTCAATTTTTTTCCTATGATGCGGCTAGAATATTCCTAAACGCCTACACGGGCCATAAATCACTCGGAGTTCCCGTCAAAACATCAATTAAAAAGTCTGAAGGAGGGGGGGGGGGTGAATAGCTGACTAACAGAACTTTAACTCTTTTGACAAACTTTAGGCTCAACAAAATAATAGGGTTGTCTAGATATGCAACTAGGTGACCAACATATATGACAAGCTCAACAACAACAACAACAACAACAACAAGGTAATAGCAAGCACAAAGTAAAGGACCTAAATAACCGCACCTGAACTCGATGGAGACGAGAGTGCGTTGCCGAAGTTTCATCCTTTTGGGGAGGTACATCTCCGTTGGAGAGGTGTGGAGGCACAATGCTCCCCCAAACGTCCCTATGACCACCTTATTCTCCTCATACTCACGCACAATACAAGGTATCCTGAATCCACTAGCGGTGCCCTTGAAAGCGGCATGTGAGACCTTTACAAACAAGGTTGCACCTCTCTTCATAACTTAATTGGAGGCTCCCAACATCACCATGAAAGTTCACCACAATGGATTGTGGCTCACACGTGACCTCCTCTGTCTAGGTGCCCAAACACCAAGAGCAACAAGTTGATGTTTCTCGGGGGACACTGCTAGGATATGGGTCGATCCGATTGGTGATCAGAAACCATTTATGTATCAATTCCCTCAATTATTCTCGATATGCAACTCCCCTAAGTGCACTGTGAAATCCTGCCTGGAGGCAGATCATGTATCATTCTTTAGAAGAAGACTAAGCAATGAGCTTAAAGAGCAATGGCAGCGGATGGTTGATGCCGCTAGGAAAAGTTGTGTTTCTGATGAAACTGATGTCATAAAATGGTCCTTGGGGCCTAAGACGGTCTTTACGACTAGATCGGTGAGAAAGATCATAGGGTGTAATTTTGGGTGGATTTGGAAGGCTGGCATCCCTTTAAAGATCAAAATCTTTATGTGGCAGTTGTTCCAGGATTCTATTCTTACTCGAGATGTAATGAAAAGAAGGGGGTGGAAAGGGAATCCTAAATGCTCATTCTGTGGGGAGCGCGAAACACATCCCAGCACCTCTTTTTACCTGCCCTGTAGCTAAGGTGACTTGGAGAAATATTGCATGCATGCTTGGCACTGACTTGTGTCCAAACAATTTGTGACAAGCTTACTCCTGGTGTTATGTCTATTTTCCAAATGGGGAGGTTTTTTACACAGTTGGCATAGCCGCACTTTGTTGGGCTATTTGGACCTGCCGCAATAGTGCTACATTTGAATTTAAGCATCTGAAAACTCCCTTTGAGTGATGTTTCTCTATGTGCGCTTTCTGTGTTACTGGGCAGGTTTGCTGAAATAGGAAGATGCGGTGGATCTGCGAGCAGGGGTAGACATGCTGAAGAATAGCGCGTCGAGGATGATGCTCATCTGTGCTGCGACAAAAGACTGAGAAGCTCGCTGGAGAAAAGACTGGAGAAGAGAGGAGTCTTCAGGGGCGTTTCTCTCCAAAGCGTCGTCTGCTTTTGATTTTGTGCTCATCCTTTGAATCTTCCCTGCGTGGAAAAACTGTCTTTTGGTGCTCATTTGTGAGCTGTTTGGGGGGTAGCCCCGTCTGGATTACATACTTATTTGGTGTCGCCGGGTTTTCATCCTACAGTGGGTTATCTCGATGGCGAGTGCTCACAGTAGGTTTCTCGGCGTTGCTTGAACTCGCTTTCCCCTCTCCCGTCTCATTCTGTGGACCTGGTTGTATTTCCGTTATGTTGCAGTAATGGAAAGGGGTTATGTCCGGTTCAAAAAAAACAAGTTGATGTTGATGTAGAAGTCGGGGAACGCAAAATAGTTTGGTGGAAGTGTAGATCGGGTCCTCCTATCGCCAAAGTATTGTGGGTTTTGGGTGGTTGGCGAAGGAGATCTCAAGCTTTTTGATGCTAGGAAATGGTGGAACAAAGCTTGGGCACATATTAGGGTTAAGAGGAAGAAGGAGGGTATTTATACCCCTGTGGGGAAAATGGCCGTTGCACAGCCGCAACCCTGGGCACCCAGACAAAAGGGGTATTTGGACCGGGGTACTTGAGATAACCAAATGTTAAGGACATAGAAAAGCTTTTGTAAACTGGAGAAGCAATATGCTTTGCCAGTATGCTTGATTCAGTAGATTGCATATCATTTGCCATGTAAGAACTGTCCAGTTGGTTTTGCAGGGCAACCAAGGTCACACCAAATAGTCTGTTATCATACTTGGAACTTTGGCATCAAAAGACCTATGAATTTGACACTCTTTCTTTGGCAATACCAGGATCTCACAAAAACATCAACGCGCTTCAGCAATCTCCGTTGTTTAAAGACTCTGTGATGGGGATACTCCAGCATGCAACTACGCCTTCAACGGGCACACCTACACCATGGGTTACTACCTTGCCAATGAAATTTATCCTTAATTGATGACAATTATGAAGCCTACCTCCGAGCACCAAGGTAGCAAGAAAAAAAAGTCCAAATGCAAGAAGGTGCTACGAAGGCTGTGGAGAGGGTATTTGGAGTGCTTTAAGCACGTTGGGCTATTTTTCATGAACCTGCAAATATGTGAGATTACGTGACAATGTGAAAAGTGTTAACATATTGAGAGCGGCGATTCGGTGCCCAGGCTCAGATGAGTCCGGGCATGAACAATGCTGTGATTTAAAAAAGGAACAAATTTAGAAAATTCCAAATTTTTGTGTGGTGCAAGATGCTCCTGTGTGTGAACTCTGTACAAAATTTTGTGAAGTTTGGACATTCGAGGAGCTCGTGGCAAAAAAGACAAATTTTGGATGTCTGAGAAACTTTTGAAGATCGCGTTGTTCACGCCTGATTTTGTCTTTTTTGCCACAGGCTCCTCGAATCTCCAAACTTCACAAAATTTTGTACAATGTTCACGCACAGGAGCATTTTGCACCACAAAAAATTGGATTTTTAAAACCTTTTTTCTATTTTAAATCGAGGTACTGCTCACTGGGCTCCGGGTTGAATTATCGTAGCATATTGTGTGTTCTTATACATCATGATTGTGAAGGATGAGGGCTATGATGTTTACAATACTAATGATTTTGAGAAGTGTAGAGTACATGTCTGTCTGAGAAACAACCTGACAGGTCAGTCTGACATGCCGCTGCTCATAGGAATGTACATCGCAGGGAAGAGGACGGAATACTACCGTTGCATGAGACACTATATAATGTAAACATTTCTTGGCTTCGATGTATTTAAAGACCATGCAACTGCTGGACAGGAACCAGCGAGCGCAACGGCCTCAGTCAAGCACGCACAAACATCTCTCACTCCCATCCACCCCCCGCAACTGTGCCAAGATGTCCAGCAGTTCATCATCGGCGCGGCGTCTCCGCACACCTCCTCCGCCGCTGCCATTGATCATGTGCCCAAGGTGCACCGTGACGAGGACCAGGTGGTTCGTGTCCGGGACGGATCGTAACCCGGGCATCCGGTTCTACAAGTGCCCGAACCAGGCAGTAAGTATCACGGAACGCACATGCAGCAGAAGATTACTCCACTGTTTTTGTTCCCTGATCAGTTTTGTAACCACGCGCAGGACGGAGGCCCCTGCGATTTTTGGCTGTGGGAGGACCAGTATGCGTTCTACATCACCCGGGTTGGCATTAACCTACTCATCGAGGCGGCCGGAGGAGGGAGCAACGTCATGTTCAGAATGGGCCGTGCCATGGACGACATACGCAACGTGGCGAGGAACACCATGATGATCTGTGAGGGAGTCTTGGATTAGGGGGTCTCTGGACAGCCGGACTATATCCTTTGGCCGGACTGTTGGACTATGAAGATACAAGATTGAAGACTTTGTCCTGTGTCCGGATGGGACTCTACTTGGCGTGGAAGGCAAGCTAGGCAATACGGATATATATATCTCCTCCTTTGTAACCGACCTTGTGTAACCCTAGCCCGCTCCGGTGTCTATATAAACCGGAGGGTTTTAGTCCGTAGGACAACATACAATCATACCATAGGCTAGCTTCTAGGGTTTAGCCTCTTTGATCTCGTGGTAGATCAACTCTTGTACTACTCATATTATCAAGAACAATCAAGCAGGATGTAGGGTATTACCTCCATCAAGAGGGCCCGAACCTGGGTAAACATCGTGTCCCCTGCCTCCTGTTACCATCCGCCTTAGACGCACAGTTCGGGACCCCCTACCCGAGATCCGCCGGTTTTGACACCGACATTGGTGCTTTCATTGAGAGTTCCATTGTGTTGTCACCATAAGGCTCGATGGCTCCTTCGATCATCGGTAACGATGCGGTCCAGGGTGAGGTTTTCCTCCCTGGACAGATCTTCGTATTCGGCGGCTTCGCACTGCGGGCCAATTCGCTTGGCCATCTGGAGTAGATCGAGAGCTACGCCCTTGGCCATCA